CCTCCATGAACTCGGGCGTGATGCTGGTGCGGCCCTCGCGCCTCTCCTCCAGCGGCACCCCCATGCTGGCCGGCGTCTCCGAGTACGAGCTGCCCGAGGACCCGCGCTGGGAGCTGCCCCGGGACAGGTGAGCTCCAGCCCTGCGCTCTGCCCCCGCTGGGAGCTGGCTGAGGAGCGTGCTGCCCATGCTGGGACCAACCTGCTGCCCCTGCCTCGGGGTCTTCTCCCACCAGGCTGATCCTGGGCAAGCCTCTGGGAGAAGGGTGCTTCGGCCAGGTGGTGCTGGCAGAAGCCATCGGCCTTGACAAGGACAAGCCCAACCGTGTGACCAAGGTGGCCGTGAAGATGCTCAAGTGTAAGTGGCAGCGAGAAGGCTGGTCCTGGCGTGATGCCACCGCCCTGGCTGGGGTCTGGGGTGTGCAGCCCAGCCTGGCACCCCCTAACTGCCTTCTCCCCTTCAGCCGACGCCACAGAGAAGGATTTGTCTGACCTCATCTCTGAGATGGAGATGATGAAGATGATTGGCAAGCACAAGAACATCATCAACCTGCTGGGAGCCTGCACGCAGGACGGTGAGGGTGCATGATGGGGAGGAGGCGTCCCCTGTGCCACCCCTCCAGCTGCTGTCCCCTAGAGGGGCTGGCCTGGCACCCTGCTGCGTGTCCCAGCCCCTCACCAGCCCGTCCCCTCAGGACCCCTCTATGTGATCGTGGAATACGCCAGCAAGGGCAACCTGCGGGAGTACCTGCAGGCACGGCGGCCCCCGGGCATGGAGTACTGCTACAACCCCAGCCGCGTCCCCGAGGAGCAGCTCTCCTTCAAGGACCTGGTCTCCTGTGCCTACCAGGTGGCACGGGGCATGGAGTACCTGGCCTCCAAGAAGGTGAGGAGCTGCCAGGAGGCTGCGGTGGGACGGGGAGCCCAGCCAGAAGCTGGGCCTGGGGCGTGCACCCTCCCCTGCCACCCGTCCCGTCGTGGGGAACCCTCCGGTGCCGTGGGCTGACAGCCCCGTGCTTGGTCAGTGCATCCACAGGGACCTGGCAGCCAGGAACGTGCTGGTGACAGAGGACAACGTGATGAAGATCGCTGACTTCGGGCTGGCCCGCGACATCCACCACATCGATTACTACAAGAAGACGACGAACGTGAGTGGTGTGCGGGGGGTTCTGAGGGGTGGGGATGCTCCAGCCTGTGCTGGGAGTGCCCCACGCGTGCAGGGCTCACCCCCAGCCCAGGTTCCCTCACAGCCATGGAGCCATCGTGGGGTTTTGTGTCTCAGGGTCGCCTGCCAGTGAAGTGGATGGCCCCCGAGGCTCTCTTTGACCGAATCTACACCCACCAGAGTGACGTGTGAGTGGGGCCTGCTGGGGAGATGCATGGATGGTATTCTTCTTGAATTAATGGAACTAAAATTGGTGTCGGCCAACCAAACATTTTGAATCCTAATCATGTTTGGTGCTGGGACTCCAAAGTCCTACAAAGTGAATTAAAGCTGTGGGTGGTTGTTCCTCCCCTCAAACCAGGCTCTAGCTGTACCCAAACTGGGTGTCAGCACCCCAGAGCCGGTGCCCCAGCATCTGCCTGTGTTCCCAGGTGGTCCTTTGGGGTGCTGCTGTGGGAGATCTTCACGCTGGGTGGGTCACCATACCCTGGTGTGCCCGTTGAAGAGCTCTTCAAGCTGCTGAAGGAAGGTCACAGGATGGACAAGCCCAGCAACTGCACCAACGAGCTGTGAGTGCTGGGATGGGATGGGCAAGAGGGGTTTGAAGTCTCTGAGTGCCATTGCTAGGCCCAGAACACGGGCTGGGGCATGGAGGGTGACAGGCAGATCCAATAATGAGCATCTCCTGTGGCGGGAGGGAATCCCAGGGTGACCCCAGCTCAGGGACCAGCCCAGACTGTGTCCATCCTCCTCCCCGAACATCCCTGGCTCATGAGGGCAGGTGGGACACAGGGGATTACCCTCAGTCCCTGGAGGAACATCTCCGTTGGCTGTGGGTCCCAGCCTGGCGCTGCCATGGGTGGGGGTCCCCGGGCTGAGCCCCCCTGCCCCTGCCCTCACAGGTACATGATGATGAGGGATTGCTGGCACGCCGTCCCTTCCCAGAGACCCACCTTCAAGCAGCTGGTGGAAGACCTGGACAGGATCGTGGCCATGACCTCCAACCAGGTAGGAGAGGTGGCCCTGGTGGCCCCTGGGTGCGGCGCTCCCTGGGGCCGCTCCTGAGCCCATCCCTGGGCTTTGTCCCTGGCAGGAGTACCTGGACCTCTCCATGCCGCTGGATCAGTATTCTCCCGGCTTCCCCGACACCCGCAGCTCCACCTGCTCCTCGGGGGAGGACTCTGTGTTTTCCCACGACCCGCTCCCGGACGAGCCGTGCCTTCCTAAGCTGCCCCCCCAGCACAGCAACGGTGGCCTGAAGCGACACTGAGGCTGGCACTGCTGGGGGTGCCAGGCTGTGCCGCGCTGTGCCGTGCCCGTGGACACTGCCTGCACAGCCTGCTCATGCCGGGCTGCTGCAGAAGGGGTTCAGAGACATCTGTGGCATCTCACGTAACCAAAAGCACCCACGTCCTGCCAGCTTCTCCTGCCTCCTCGTGCCAGCTCTCCACAGCCCACGGGTTCGGCTCCAGGGTTTTTATGGCATTTCCTCCTTCTGTTTTTAAACCTCTTTTCCATGAATTCCGTGCTTGGGTATTCCCACTTGGCTGAGCTGAAATCCTCTCCCGTGGGCAGTGTGTGGCCAAAGAGCCGGCCAGGCCTTCTGGGGTGGCACATCCTGGTGGGGCACGGGCTGGGCTGGGCTGGGCTGGGCTGAGCTGGGC